ACAACACTGCAAAGTTGTGAAACGGAGTAGCAGGTAAGTGACTACACTGCAAGTTGTGATGACGTAGTACAGGGACCGTGACACACGCAAGTTGTGATGACGGTAGTAGCAGGTTGTACACACACGCAAGTTTGATGACGGTAGTACAGGTACTGGACTACACTGCAAGGGGTTTATGACGGTAGTAGCATACTGTGACTACACGCAAGTTTTGATGCGGGATCATCACCACCACCACCCACCACCACCCCCATCACCCCCACCACCACACGACCCCCCCACCACCATCACGACCACCACCACCACCATCCGACCACCACCACCACCACACGACCACCACCACCACCATCACCACCACCACCACCCCCCGCGACCCCACCCGCGACCACCACCATCGCGACCACCACCATCGCGACCACCCCATCGCGACCACCACCATCACGACCACCACCATCGCGACCACCACCATCACGACCACCACCATCACGACCACCACCACCACGACCACCACCATCAAAACCACCACCATCACGCCCCCCACCACCACCACCACCATCACGACCACCACCATCACCACCACCATCCGACCACCACCACGCACCACCACCCTCACGACCACCACCCCACGACCACCATCCGACCACCACCATCCGACCCCCATCACCACCACCATAAAACACCATCACCACCCATAATCACCCTCACCACCCCCATAATCACCATCCCGCCATCACCACCACCACCATCACCATCACAACCACCCCCCATCACCACCCCTACCACCACACCAAAAAAAACCACTCCACCACCACACCCCCACCACTACCACCCCCCACCACCACCACCACCACCTCACCCCTACCACCACCACCACCACCACTACCACCACTACCACCACCACCACCACCACTACCACCACCACCACCACCACCACTACCCCCCAAACCCCACCACCACTCCACCCCACCACCACTACCACCACCCCCACTACCCCCCACCCTACCCCCACCACCACCACCACAAACCCCCACCACTACCACCCCACCACCACCACTACCAAACCACCACCACTACCACCCCCACCACACCACCACCACCACCACCACCACCACCACTACCACCACCACCACCACCACCACACCCCCACCAAAACACCCCACCACCACCACCACCACCACCACCACCACCACACACCACCACCACCCCCACTACCACCACCACCACAAACCAAACCCCCACCACCACCACCCCCACCACCAAACCCCAAAACCACCACCACCCCCACCACAAACCCCCCACCACCACCACCCCCACCACCAACATCACCACCCCCCATCACCCCCCACCACCAACATCACCACCACCATCACCCACCACCCACCACACCACCACCACCACCACCACCACCACCACCACCACCAACCCCCCCCACCACCAACATCACCACCACCACCAACACACCACCACCACCAACATCACCACCACCCCCACCACCATCAACCACCCTCACCACCTCAACCACCACCACCACCACCCCACTACCACCACCACTACCCCCACACCACCACTACCACCACTACCACCAATACCACCACCACCAACCACCACCACCACCACCCCCCCCACCACCACCACCAAAACTACCAAACCCCACCCTACCACCACCACCCACCACCACCACCACCACCACTACCCCCACCACTCCACCCCTACCACCACCACCACCACCACCACCACCCCACTACCACCACCCCCACCACCCCTACCACCACCACCACCACCCCACTACCACCACCCCACCCCACCCCCACCACCCCACCCACCACCCCCACCACCACCACCACCACCCACCACCACCACCACCACCACCACCACCACCACCACCCCACTACCACCACCACCACCCTAACACCCCACCACCACTACCACCCCCACCCCATACCACCACCCCCACCACCACTAGGAGGATCATGTGATGGATGAACAAGTAAACAACACAGGCCCACTACCCTTTCTCTCTCCCCCCCCTCCTCCCTCCCCCCTCCCCCCCCCCTCCCCCCCTTCCCCCCCTCCTCCCTCCCCCCTCCCTCCTTCCTTCCCCCTCCCCCCTCCTTCCTCTCTCCCTCCCCCCCTCCTTCCTCTCTTTTCCCCCCCTCCCCCTTCCCTCTCCTCCCTCCCTCCTTCCTCTCTCCCCCCCTCCTTTTCCCTCCTCTCTCCTCCCTCCCCCCCTTTCCCCTCTCCCTCCCCCCCTCCTTCCCCTCTCCCTCCCTCCTTCCTTTTCCTCTCCCCTCCCCCCCCCCTTCCTCTCTCCCTCCTTCCTTTCCCCCTCCCTCCCTCCCCCTTCCCCCCCCCTCCCTCCTTCCTCTCTCCCCCCCTCCCTCCTTCCTCTCTCCCTCCCTCCCTTTCCCTTTCCCCTCCCCCTCCCCCCCCTTCCCTCTCCCTCCCTCCCTCCTTCCTCCCTCCCCCCTCCTTCCTCCTCCCTCCCTCCCTCCCTTCCTCTCTCCCCCCCCTCCTTCCTCCTCCCCCCCTCCTTCCCTCTCCCTCCCTCCCCCCTTCCCTCCCCTCCCTCCCTTTTCTCCCCCCTCCTTCCTTCCCCTCCCCCCCCTTCCTTCCCCCCCTCCTTTTCCCTCCCCCTTTCCCCTCCCCCCCCCCCTCCTTCCTTTCCCTCTCCCTCCCTCCCTCCTTCCTCTCTCCCTCCCCCTCCCCCCCCTCCTTCCCTCTTTTCTCCCCCCCTCCCCCTTTCCTTTCCTCCCCCCCTCCCCCCCCTTCCCCCCTCCCCCTTTCTCCCTCCCCCTCCCTCCCTCCCCCCCTTCCCCTCCCTTTCCTTTTTCCCTTTCCCCCCCCCTTCCTCTCCCCCCCTCCCTTTTTTCCCCCTCTTCCCTTTCTCCCTCCCTTTTTCCCTTTCCCCTCCCTCCTCCCTCCCTTTCCCCTCCCTCCCCCCCTTTCCCCTTCCCTCCCTCTCCCCCTTTCCTACCTTCCCCTCCCCCCCCTTAAAAACCCTCCCTCCGTTTTCCCTTTCCCTGCCTTTTTCTCACTCCATCCCCACCTGGGGGGTTTTTCCGGGGATCAACCCCCCCTCCCCGGGCCCTACGACCGGGCCTTCCTGGGGACCCGGGGCCCTTACAACCAGGCTTTTTGGGGGCGGCCCACGTAGCCCAACGTACAACCACAGCCCGGCTGTTCCGGCACTGACTGTGGGTACCCGGTCCCCACTCCCCTTTGGGAAGACAACCAGGGGACTATTGCAATCCCCCTTTATGGCGGGTTGGAAAGGGCGGGTTAAAAAAGTCGGGGGCCCCAACACGTTTTTCTCTTGGGTTCCCAGGACACCCTACTTTTAAACGGGGGTTATTTTTCCACCCGGCCCTCCCAGGTTTTTTGTTTTTGTATGGAGGGGATTTCTGGGGTGCAAATTAGGAACCAGTCCCTCCAGAATTTTCCCCAGTGTAAATTATGAATATCTCTCCCCGCCTGCGCTCCATTTAGTACAATTAAAGTTTTCCAGGCGCTCCCAGTATTAAAGGGTTGTTTGATGGAACTTACATGTGCAAAAAGGGTTTCTCTGTACTTTCCCTCAAAGTTCTAAATTTTCCCCACCCTGCCTTGAATGGGGTTTGTTAATGGCAGCATTATTCCAGCCTAGAGAGAACAATGATTTAAAAATTATTTTTTGGGCTTATAATTTTCTTTTTCTTAATGTTCTCTTTTATCCATCCTATCATTTCCTGCAATTTTGTATTTGGGATTGTTGTGGGGCCTTGAAGGGGAGGTCATTAAACCCCACCCAGGTCCTTCACATTACTTTTCCACTCTATTGTGTGACCAGAGTTTGTAGTATACTCAGTCCTAGTTATTATTTCCTCCAGTTTTCCATAACGGAGTAGTTGGAATTTGTCTTCATTGAACATCATATTGTTCTCTGTTGCCCATTGTAAAACTGGTTTATATCTTCTTGGAGCTTTGCCGTGTCCTCAGTGGATGACACTCTCATGCAGATCCTAGTATCGTCTGCAAAAGATGATACAGCGCTGTGGTTTACATCTCTGTCTATGTCTGATATGAGAATATGGAACAGGATAGGTGAGAGTACTGTGCCTTGTGGGACAGAGCTCTTCACTATAGCAGCATCTGATTTAAGTCTGTTTACCACTACTCTTTGTGTGCGATTGGTTAGAAAATTGAAGATCCGTCTGCCTACTTTGCCGGTTATCCCTTTAGCACGCATTTTGTGTGCTATAGCACCATGGTCGCACTGTCAAAGCTTTTGCAAAGTCTGTGTATACTACATCTGCATTCTGTTTGTTTTCCAGTGCATCTAGGACCATATTATAGTGGTCTAGCAGTTGCGAGAGGCAGGAGCGACCTACTCTGAAACCATGTTGCCCTGGAAATGAATTTTGGGAGTCCAGTGTCTTCCTGCTTCTTAGAACTCTTTCAAAGATTATTATGATGGGGACGTTAAAGCT